TAAAAAACATTTCAAAGCATTTTCTCCATTTGTGTATGTTAAAAAACAACAACAACAACACATTTGTTGAAAATTAAAAGCCAAAGAAATATACACGTGAAAAACAATGCAAGCTTAAACCCTTCGTGTTGAAAAACCTTTGCCACACCTGGTAACATATCTTTCCTTCTACAAGCAGTGATAAACCTGTTTCTGGATTTTTTCTATTTTCTCTCCAGAAATACCCAATATCTGAATGACCTTGACCTAGCTGATCCTATTTTAACCATCTAATTTAGATTTAAAGACCTGTCACATCCAGATGTATGGTGCCTTCAGTCTGGATTATATCCTACCAATTGATCCAATCCAGAGCATCACTGACTTTTGCGGGATATTGACGTATCATTAAAACCAGTACTCGAGTTGAGGGGGGAAAATCATCTCCCTTCTTAAGTTACCATCCCCCCATACCATCCCCTGTGACATTTCATCACTGAATGTGTAAATTTATATTATATATTAACAGTAATGTGCAATAATATTATAATAATAGAAGGCAAAAACTAACACTTCAGGTAAGTCAAGAGTCAGAAGACATTACCTCTTATAATCTTAATATTGTGTCACCAAATATGTAGAAGTCCTAATCTCTGGACATAGCAATAGCATGAAAAACTAGGTAAACTAGTTTGAAGCGCAAACATTTTTCTGTTGCGTTTTGACACACGCAAATTAGTGTAGAGTGTACAGGCATTGCTAAACATTCAAAATCGAAATTTTGGTTGTGAATGGTACATAAAATGAATCTGTAGACCGCTGCTGTTTTGCTAGATGACAGCCAGAATCTAGAAGATGTTGGTGAGATGAGGAGCTGTGGCCGAGAGCAGTGGAGGAAACCCGGAGAAGAGTATCAAAGGTTTGAAAAATGCATTTTAATTAAGCAATTTAAGACACATGTTAAGATTATCATCTTGAAAGAACTGCCAAATGTGATGTGAACCCTTAGCAAAAAGTAGTTTATTCAAGTATACTAAAAGCGCACTAATTTCATACTTAATATCACTTAGGGTTTCTTATTCTAAACTATATTTCATATATATTCATATAACTTTATTCTTTACTAAAGTATACTTAAACTATACTTTAGTAAACTTAAAAATTTCCCAATTTAGTTCGAGAAGTATTAATTTAGTAATACTTCAAGTACACTAAAAGTACATTGTTCGGTATACTTTCTAAACTTATACTTAAGTATTCCTAATAGAATTTACTTCAAGTATACTACTTTTTGCTAAGGGAATGTCTGGCCAAATATCATAAATGAACTGAATGTTTAGATCTGACTGCAAGGTTCCTCGTGTGACTTGTAGAATGCCTTTTGTCTGATCAATTGTAAATATAGTTTAATGGACCTTTTAGAATAGTTTTAACTCATTCATTGCCAGCATGTTGTCTAGCTTACTTTAAATTAGCCAATAGAAGCAATACTGGTTTTCTGATAAACAGTCTATTCTATAAAATAAATACTCTAAATGAATATTTAAAAGGTGAGGAAAATTATTCGATTTTATAAAGGCTTATTTCATTTTCAGGCTAATTTGAATGTATTTAAAATTGTAAGCAGTTTTTTCAGACATCCATCCATCCATCCATCCATCCATCCATCCATCCATCCATCCATCCATCCATCCATCCATCCATCCATCCATCCATCCATCCATCCATCCAGCCAGCCACTTCTTCCAGCTCTTCAGGAGGAACCCCAAGGCGTTCCCAGGCCAGCTGAGAAACATAGTCTCTCCAGGGTGTCCTGGGTCTTCCCCGGGGTCGGGACGTGCCCGGAACACCTCACCAGGGAGGCGTCCAGGAGGCATCCTAACCAGATGCCCGAGCCACCTCAACTGGCTCCTCTCGACTTGGAGGAGCAGCGGCTCTACTCCGAGTCCCTCCCGGATGACCGAGCTTCTCACCCTATCTCTAAGGGAGAGCCCAGCCACCCTACGGAGGAAACCCATTTCGGCCGCTTGTATCCGCGATCTCGTTCTTTCGGTCATGACCCAGAGTTCATGACCATAGATGAGGGTAGGAACGTAGATCAACCTGTAAATCTAGAGCTTCGCTTTTTGACTCAGTTCTCTCTTCACCACGACGCGTCGGTACAGCGCCCACTTCACGGTAGATGCTGCGCCAATCCGCCTGTCGATCTCCCGCTCCCTTCTTCCCTCATTCATGAACAAGATCCCAAGATACTTAAAGACACCCCCCCTGACCCGGAGAAGGCACTCTACCCTTTTCCGGCTCAAGACCATGGCCTTGGATTTGGAGGCACTGATCCCCATCCCGGCCGTTTCACGCTCGGCTGCGAACCGATCCAGCGAGAGCTGCAGATCACGACCTGATGAAGTCAATAGGACCACATCATCTGCAAAAAGCAGAGATGCAATCCTAAGGCCACCAAAATGGATCCCCTCAACACCTTGGCTGCACCTAGAAAGTCTGCCCATCAAGAAATTCTGTCCATTTTCAGATTTCACCTGTTTCAATTGAATTGATTGAAATGGAATAAAAAAAAAAAAACTTGACTTCTGGATTCAGATATTCGTTTGCAATGTTTTGTGAGGTTTTGTTCCAAATCTTAATAGATTATTTGCCAAAAGTTTTTCCAAAGTAAAATCAAAGAAGTGGCCTACCATGACTATGAAGCTGATCCCAGTGGGAAATGAGTCCCTAATTATATAGGGGCAGTGATAGCCATGGCAGTCCAGGGACTGACTGCAGTTCTACTGTAAGATGCCTTGGTCGAGGTATATGACCGGCGTGCCTGACATGTAACAACCGTACCATATATAGGGCTTTACGTTAATAGAATATATTAATTAAGCTATGAATTCTTCTAAAAAAAAATAAAAAATCCACCATCCCCCTTCTTTTTTTTTTTTTTTTACAACTAGACTACTGATTAAAACTGCTCAAATGTCACCACTATCACCAATAGCTTATGCCAAACAATGTTTATAGAAATAACTTACTTTTTTTCTTTTCCTTTGGCAGGGGGAGGTGCCAAATGAAGAGCACTGCTTGTTTGAGTTCAGATGATTAATTAGGAATGTATTGTTCTTGTGAACTGAGAATGAGGATCACAGGAAGGACTCCTTTAAAACAGTTTATTGTGCTTCCTTTTCACTGCTGTCAGGCATTGGGGCTTAAAAAGGATCAACATTTCTCAGTTGACTGGCTTTAGGGGCCAATGCATTTTTGGGTGTGATTATGTGACTGTCTAGACAGATGACATTATTTTTTTTATCTTGTGTCTAATACTGGAAAACATGTAATTGAATACCTTTGAGTGTTTATAACACAATAATCTTCCAGTGAATCTTAATTTGATCATGGGTTTTGTAGGCTGATCTGGAAGTGTCCAGTGATTGTCTGCTCTACATTGAAAGATTTAGATTTTTTTAATTTAATTTAATAAAAACATTGTTACTTTTTTATAGCTGAGTTTAATAAACGTGGCAGGGAAACAAAAATAGGACAAACCGGTCTTCATGGTTCAATATAATCTACCTTATCATTTACTCTCACCAAGTATGGAGATGTTTTGCATGTGAATCCACAAAACTTCATCAAAACCTTCGTCCAATACTGATTTCTGGTCCATGCTAGAATGCAGCCTTTAATTTCTATTCATTACAGACATACGTGACATTGTTATGTGGACCATGATGTATGACGACATGACGGTTTGTGTTGCTTGGGTAATTTGCTTCAAATGAAATGGAAACACTGCAAATTTACATTCCTTTTTTAACTTTTTAAAGTTCACTTAAAATTTTAATTTCAGTTGGATCAAAACAAATATTTTAACGATCTGACTCTGGATTTCTCATTAGTGATGTCAGATGATTAAATGTGCATGCTGGACTAATCCATTGTTTACCTCCTAAAACTATTGCACAGCAATGAAGAATTAATAAAGCTAAAGCTTAATATTACTAAGGAAAGTGGCTTCAGCTAGTGTCAGGTCCACAATTATGGATTCTTAGAAATTTCCTGCACATACTTTGTCTTGTCCAGAGACAGCTATTTCTCTTACTTTGACTTACTCCAATTTTGAGATCAAAGAGAAGGACTGAAGTCAGTACATGCAGATATAGTACCTCCAGGTTAAAGTTGGGAATGAAACAAATGTTTGTTGATTCCGAAAACATTTTTCCGACTATATTCAATGTTGCTTCATTGCTTTCCAGTAAAAATACATTTTTAGACACAGGGTTTGACCACAGGGGAATAAAAGACAATATAATCCTTCTCAAATGGACCTTGCAACTTGACCTCCTCCCATTGTTCCTTTCAGCCCCAGAGCACATCCTAACCTTTTATAGGACACTCTTCCAACAATAAGAGAATAACCCGGGGACAGTCAAGACCCTTCTCAAAAACTTTCCAGTAGATCTGCAAGAATAAATCTACCTTTGTCTTTGTTGTTCACTGTACTATGTTTTTAATGCCTTTTGCACTTTAAATCACGTGTATACTATTGTATGTATACTGTTATATAAACATATAGACTAGCGTATAAGTCCGCCATCAACAAAGGACACGATAATAAGCAATAGAAAGCTAATTTTGGACAGAAGAGAAACCCTAACATTGTGCCACTGGGAGCTGTGAGCAATTACCCATGTTGAGAACTATGCAATTAAAAATTTAATTGAAGAGTTTATAAAATATTTTTCAGAGCCGCTATGAAGATATTGATTGGAAAATTTTTTCAAAGTCAACAGTACATTTTTCTCTAATATAAAGCCAATCTCTTCAAAAGTTTCCCCAAAGTGAAGTAATAATCCTTTTCTTTTCAGAGAAAATAAGCTTTCCTAACCTCATGTTAGCAGCTTGATATGAATAGCCAATCAAAAAACAATGACTGTAATCATATTAGTGTATAATCACAACACATGAGAATTAATAATATTAGTTATTTTCTTGTCACAAACCCACAACAGGTAGAACTTTACATACAGAAAAAGTGAACACTTCGAGATGAAGTCAACAGACTTCTACCAGAAATAACAGCTGTGGGGGTTTTGCTGATTGATGATTGAAGTGGCGTTTAGCAGGCTGTCATCCAATCACGGCTGGTAGAGAATTTGTAGAGTGTGTAGTCAACCAACAGTTTTCATTTTGGGGTACAGATGGAATGAAAGAAACAGGTAGTCACAAAAAAGTCACGGCAAAAACAATGAAATGGCAGCCACATTAAGGACAGTCATTGATGGGATATATATGAGTTTATATTGACAGTTCTTCTCCTGCAGAACTTTACCTTATTGACTACTCAGCAGAACAATTCAATTTCCCAATAGGTCATTACAGGAAAACACGTCAGTGCCTAAAATAAAGGCTCCTTTCTCTGTGGAGGTCTTGCATCAATATAGAGATTATTCTGCTTTTTTGTACTTTAATCATTGTTTTCATGTATAGGCTTATATACAACTAAAAAAGTGGCTATTGATTCAATGGTGTTGTATATCTGTTGTCAATAACTCTACGCTCTTTTTTTTTCCATACACTTTACCCCCCATTAATAGTTCAGATGTTTATTTATTTTAGCTTTTAACAGACAAAGCTTTTAGTGGATTGTGACTGTATGTATTACAGCAGTTTGTCTACTTTACAAAATAGAGAAATACTTTTATGACATGTCTAACACAAATTTTTTTGTTCAAATAATTTTCATACGTATTTTGCCTAAGGCTATGTAGGCGTACATACATCTCTCTCCAAAATTATTGGTGACCCTGGTAAACATGTGTAAAAAGCCTTCAAATAAAAATATCTTTTTGCAGAACCAATACGTTTCTGAATTATTTCTGAATTATAACCCTTGATTTATAAAAATGTAAAAAACCAAGTATGTTATAATTTCATACTTGAAGTATTTTCAGGGATTTGTATTCTGAATGTGACCAGACTTTTCCTTTAAAAGACCCGCCCTCTCTACTTAAAAAAAAACCGCTTGCAAGAGCATGCATGAGCCCGTTTCTCTTCATGCACACACTGTTTAAAATATGCTGTTCTCATAGCTCATACATGCCTACTGTGTCCACAAACCGCAGGGAATATATAATGGACTTTATTGCGAACTCAGTTAACTGACCGTTTGTACAAATGATAACTCAGCTTCCGCACGGTGCCTGCGCCATCTTTTGTATTAGTCGCTGCTGTTGGGCAGCGACAGTGGGCCGCTGTGACAGCAAATCCCATAGTGCTTTGCAAGGAGAGCTCTCCGCGCAAAGCATTCTGGGATATATCTGTCAAGACACTTTTTCTCTTACAACTCTTGACCATTTCCAAAGAACTGCGGTGAGAAAGCTGGGCTTCAATGACTGTCTGAAACTGTAGGTCACCACAAATATACGGCTAAAAGTGCGCATGCACACAAAAACATAGCTACTGTAACTGAAAGAGCATGTAGGACGGCCTTATGTAAACATACCACCAGAATGATTGACAATTAGGAAAACCAGTTATTGAGATGATCCACCCGGAAACAACATTACGTCCTCTATATCTTTAAGGCGAAGAGATAAAAGCAAAAATTCTTAACATAAAAAAAAAAAAAATCTCAGAATAAATCAAGAAAAGCACCAGCCCTCAAGTTTAAGTACTATGTTTTTTTAGCCTTTTAAAGGTTACATGCAGAAGTGGGTATTTTTGTATTTTATTCAATATTGCAGCTGTTAATATGCCTGATTAATTTGTAATAAACCAAAAGTAAAACAAAAGTAATTAATAATGGTGCCTATTGTCCCCGATAGCTCTGGGCTTACTCAGGTTAAAGGCTAAAGAGAAAAGAAATGGCACCACCCACCTGCAGTACCTCCACTATGAAAGACCTCTATTTTAGATCTACTCACACTGCTTTAGCAAAGTATGATACTAGGAAAGAAATTGTCTTACAGCACTAAAATGGAACCGTTGTCTGCGTCATGTTGACTTTTTATTGTTCTCAACCCAAAAAAACAACAAACGAAAAATAATAAATAAAAGAATCTACATGTACTATGTCATATACAATGTTCAAAATAAAAGAGAAAACAGGTGCTGGGTAGATCAGGGATGATTTATCCAGCTACTGTACATGATGGGATTCCTGCACACAATAAAGCTAAGGCATGTTTAGTCATTCACACACCCTTCCCCCTCCGAATGTCAGAAGGCATTGATTGTAAGGTTCTGAGAAGAAGCCCACAGGCCCTTTCAGATTGTGTTTGCCTCAACAGTCAGATTTGGATCATATAAAAAACTGACAGTGGATTTAAAGGTCAGATCTAACCATGTTGGCTTCACTGTGTGTGTTTGCATTTGTAAAAGACAGTGAAAGAGATATTTGGAAAGAAAGGACAATGAGTTAGAAAAATTGCCGGTTGAAAAATTGTCAGATAAAAAAAATAGTTATTGATTTGGTACTCAGTTTTCAAAAATATATATACAAATAAAGATATTTTTTTATTTAGCTTAAGTTTGCCTTGCATTAACAGTTGTTTTCTATCCCTTTAGTGTTGGATTTGTAAATAAATTCACAACCAAATGTTCTTCCTCACATAAATTCTTCATGCTATGAACATCATTGCTTATAGGGTTTGATTTGAGTGTGAGTGATTATTAGGCTTCAGCATGCTGCAGGAAGTCCTCCAAAGCATTTACAGTTGGACCAAATGCACAAAAAAAACTTTTTTATTTTTTTACTGAGAACAATGATCCTGATAATTTTCCAACACTTTCTCATTATAAAAGACGAAGCAGAGACAAAATGAAAATAGAAAGTGTGTCAACGTGCAATGATCTGTCAGAGTATCCTACTATTGAAGAGGAGTTTTTCCTATTTCTGAGTAAAGATGAGGGATTGCTGCAAAGTCATCAACTCAGAGCAATCTAAGTTCTATATGTATTGAACTGGGTTCTATAAATGAATTATTAATTTACCCTCTTAGTCTTGAAAATAGCTTTAAAGATTTTTTTAAGCGTTTTCTGCTAAATTTGCACTTTGCTAATTAATTGTCAATAGAGAATTGTGTTAAAAAGGGAGGGCAAACAGATAAAAGTGAAATTTAGGGTTGACACAAGCTGAGGAAAATGCTGATCCAAGCATTATCTACCATTGTAGATAAGGTTGAACTGTTTTTATAAATTTTGCCACTTATTTTGACAGAAGGGTTTCAAAAATTATTTATAGTCAGCTATTGTCAAATCTTGTCTCATTAGGCACAAAGGAATGTGTTATCATTTTCCCAGTTTCCCAGCCTCATTTACAAATTACAATCTTTGGTTTCTTGTTGTCTCTTTTATCTGAACCAGTAACAGGACTGGACCTCACACTTATACACTGCTTATAATCTGTCTTCCATCATTAAGAGCTCCTGCCTGGCACATTTAATCTCAGTCCACAGGCACTAATCCATCAGATGATGGATTACTCACTTGGGACACACACACACATATATTATTATCACCATCTTTATTATGTGGGACAATCCCCTAACAGCAACCTCTGACCACATGACACCAGCTGAGACCATGAACAAAATAACTCACATTCACATTTGCTTCAATGCAGCATATCTTCACATGATCAAACATGCATTCGGCATGCAGGGATAACCTCTGAAAGGTCACAAACTAACACGCCGTTCTTTTATACAGACATATTCTGTAGTGCAGCCACTCGGGCACAAGCCATGATTATGTATCTGTTAATCTCCATTGGTTTTAGTAATAACAAAAACATGCTGACTGCTATCACATGTTAGAAGAAGCATGTTGTTGGGGATTATATTGATGCAGATGTCTGTGTGAGCTGCTTAATCACATGCAATCTGCAATTAAATGAACACTGGACATTGGTGTAATACAATGTACCATCCGTCGGACCTGGTACAGATCTTGGTTATAATTGCATTGTCTTGACATGTGAAGTGGGCTTTGATCAGATTGTATTTTGGGTCAGCAACATGTTTACTTTTTCAGGCAAAGGCAAACTCATGTTCTTGTATAGTTTTGCTTTAGATTTCTACAGTAGCAAAATGCCCCAACAGGAAAAACCTTTTAAAAAGATCAGCTGGATTTTAAACCAGAACCTTAGTCCTTTGGTTTATAACTTGTAAAACAGTGTTTATTTGGTGATTTTGTTTTTCCTAAAACTTCTTTTTTCTTTAACTTCACAGATTTCTTGTATTGTGGCTTTTTAGTTCCACCAAACTAATCAACAATAATTTTATCAGAAAAAAAGGCCATCGTCAATCATGCACTAAAATGAAATTGGAATTTCTTTAGTAATCAGGAATTCTTCAGACATCAGAAGCTTACTGTGATTTATCCAAATTTTTTGGGTCAAGTTTTACCAACCTCATCTGTCTGTGATTTCTGCCTGATCAAAGTAATCAAAAATCACTTAACACAACCTGCCTACCAACATAAAGTGGGCATAAGGGTCTAAAAAACAACATTATGCCCTGAATCTTAAAAAAAATATATAACAAAAAAACAAAAAGGACAAATATCAGACTGCAGAAGGGTAACAGGTCATTTAAGCTTTAGGGACAGCAAAAAATACATACTGTAAAAAGAGTCATAGGGTGGCCATACACATTTGTTTTCCAAGAGCACATTAATGACACACCCAAAAGCTCATAAGAGAACCAAGAATATTATTCAAAGTGTTGCACACCCCATTTAATTCATTTAATCAGTGTACATGATTCATTAATATATATATAAAATAAGGAGCAGGAATTATGTGAACAAATAATGCAAAGTTGAGTGGAAGTTCTCTAAAGGTTTGTTTCATCTGGAGTAAAATAATGGCAGCATTTCAAACACCAACATCATACCAATAGTTGTGACGTTCAGAGGATGGTGTTAGGCTGTTTTGGTTCACAAGGACAACTTCGCCTAATTGATGGAACCATTAATTCTGCTATCTGGCAGAACAGAGGATAAATGATCTGGTGACCTTATTCTCAAGTGTACTTTGATCATGGAGCAAGGTAATGACTCTACCAGCAAGTCTAATTCTGAATGTCGAAGAACCAGCAAAGCCAACCATTAAACTTGTCTCCTGGGATCCGTGGACATGAGGCAGTATTTACCATGGGAAACAGACAGACCACCCAAAAAATTTACAGAACAAACAACCATGCATACACTCACCCATACTTAAGGTAAATTAGAATAAGAACCTAATGATAAGGGGCTACATGGTGGAACAGTTTACAGTACTGTTGCCTTGCAGCAAGAAGGTTCCAGGTTCGATTCCCAGCCCAGGTTATTTCGGCATGGAGTTTGAACTTTCTTTGGGCTTCCCACAGTCCAAAGACATCACTGTTAGGTTAACTGGCTTCTCTAAATTATCCTTAGGTGTGAGTGTGTGAGTGTACCCCGCATCTCATCCATAGACTGCCGAGGATAGACACTGGCCCCACTGCGACCCTGACGGAATAAGTGGGAGAAAATGGATGAGCGGACATAATCATGTGTTTGAAGGGTGTGGGGAAGCTGGAGACCCTAGTGTGAGTGAATCTACCTATTCAAACTCCTCTCAGAAAATTGCTTAGTGCAAAAGAACAGAACTACCAGCTGTCATCTTCCAATGAGGTCAGTCTGTTTGTTAGAAATTGGGATTTAAAAAAAAAAAAAAGCAAAAAAACATTCTGCATTTATACATGTCTCATTCCGTTTTTTCATATGGACTAAATTTTAGTCAAATTTTTACTTCTGCTTTTGCCTTTGAGATGCTTCAGGGGTGCCTATAATACACCGTCTCTAGTCTTTAATTATCCTTAGCTTTTGACTAGCTTAATCAAAAATAAAGCAATCACGTGACATCATTTTCAATTTGTTTTCTTTTGCCAAATAGAAATTAATCCTGCAAAAACTGTTGAATAACGCAAACATAAGGATTTTATTGAAATATGAAAAGCCTGAATTAAGATTATTTTTAATTGAAAAGATCATAATTATATTTTGGCAGCTTTATAATACTTTAATTTTATGCATAGAAAAGAAAACGAAGAGACAAATAGAGAACTAACATAGCTGATGGGGGAGATGGAGAGATGCCAAGGAGTCTGCATTTGTCTGAGATCAGAGTATCATGTAATCATCCGTCTCAGTGTTCATTCATGTATGTGCACTTGGCATGGTTAATCGCTCTGATAGTGATAGCTCCTCAGTCTCCCTGTATTTCCCCCTCCTGTCTCTCCTCATCATTACTTTAACTGGCTTATCAGCCTCCAGCTCAGCCCATCGGTCCACTTCTAAGCAGGTCACCGTCCACCCTCTCAGACATCCACCAACCAAAAGCAGACACTACTTGCTCCATTATCTTTGAATACCACCAAAATGTCAAGCAGTGTTAATATCTGGTGTCCTTGACAGAAAACATAAGTGATTTGCCCCAGACAAGGCTTCCTCAATCAGACTTGAATCTACCGCAACTCCTTAAACCTAGCCAACGTGCTATGATGTACTTAACGATTTTGCATTGTCTCATTATGGTCAGATTTTTTTTCTTTGTGAGAGAACAGCAATGCAAAGGCAGAATAAAGAAAAAAAAAGGATCATATAATAAAAATGTAGGGAACTTACTGTATACATCTCAGGGGAGGGACAAGGACATGTAGTGTGGGCAAAACAGTGGGCAAAGTCGTAAGTGATCCAATGGAGCAAGAGAAATGATTGTAGAAGGAACCTGTGAGGAACAAAGAAAACCAGTGAGCGTAGACCATTGATGGGTGGAGAAATGATGGCAAAATTAGTTAGCCAGTTATTATGGGTTGCACTTCAGGCAAAGAGAGTAAGAACCTCCCTGAAACAATGTAGCTAAGACCTAGAAGAAAATTGGGAATCTAATGGAAGATAACTCTACATGTATTAAGCACAAATTAAACAAAGAAGAATAATGAATTATGAAAAAACAAAAGTGATGAGCTTAACAGTGTATTTTAAGAAAGCATAATTTAAAGTGAAAAAATAGTCAACATGCTTCCACATAAGATAATCAAAGAAAAGGAAATAGCTGTCTTACAGTGAGTTATATGTGAGTTTATTACACTGACTAAAAACAACTTTAACCAAAATCTGTGAAATGGAAAGCAAGAGAATCAGCTGAAACTGGCCGTTTGATCCATTTTTATCCTGAATTATCCTGCGTTGAGTATGTTTAGATGTTTAACAAAAAAAACAACAATATATGATACACGAGAACCTCATGGAACCCGCATTTCTTGCATTTCATTCAGAGGCCAGTGGTCAGAGAGGTTTTTAGTGTGTCGTAGTGTTCCTTATTTTCTCATCATGTTCTGCCATTCAACCTCTGAGCTTGTTCCCATTTGAATGTTCTGCTTGAGCTCTCTGTTGACTCCTGGAACCCTGGACCAGGCTGTTTCCCTGACTGGGCTTTAGACTCCTGGACCTTTAGCCTTCTGATCTGTTTCCCTGACCTGTCTTGGACTCATGCCTGCCCTCCGGGGCTGCAGGATCTGGTTCACTCTGGGCTGCGCCCACTGCATCTCCATGGCAGCCCTTCCACTGGATCCTACCGCGTTCTTTGTAGGGGGACTGAACTGTCTAACCAGGTAAGTGACTCTCATGGATAATCATCCTTCAACAGATTATCATGGTCACTTACCTGTGTTTTTCCTCCACCAGAGTATCCGGTGATGGATGGTGCACAACTGCTGCCGATCCGCAGCTTATTATTGTTTTAATTAACGTATTTGAATGTTCCCACCAACTGTCTCGCCTCAAATTCTGGGTCTTACGTACTGCTTTATGAGATTTGAGTGAAATATTTCTGTGAGTTTAAAGAGTCAAAACCTTTGAAATTAAGCTTGAATTTAGCACCAGCGGAAAGTAAGATAATCTGATTCTAAATTTATCCTGGTTAGCTGCTAACAGTTAACCATTCTTGTTACTTTCACAGTTCTTACAAATAATTAGCATGCTGTCAATCTGTCAATTGTTAATTTCTTTCCAGTGCTCAAACCAAATGTGTAAGAAAGCCCACTGTATCTTGTAGCTTGTATCAGTCCTGCTTTTGAACCCACTGAGAAAATCCAGATTGCCAAGAACTCTTGGAGAGGTGTCTAAACCTTTTTTTTTTTAAGAGAACGTTAGATTAGTTGCTTTCGACTTTACCCTTCCTAGTGTCTGCTCTAGTAGAATTCTCCTTTTTTTTTTTTATATATATTATTTAAATTCTCATTTTTACGTTGTCTGTGCTGTCAGAGCTGTCCAGTATCAACCAAACCAGCTTTCCACCATTCAGAAAACCACTACACAGTTATATTTCTAGTAAGCTACAATTCTGGCGATTAACATGACTTGCCATGTAATAAAACATGTCTTGCTTGAGTGATTTTGAAAGCATTTCTTCAATTTTTGCACCAAAGAGCAGCATTGGAGTGGAGCCAAGATGGCAGATGGAAGCTTGTCTGCAGGGTTTGGATTCCTGCAGTATTTCTAAGACGGCAAACACAGACAACTGGGTGGAGGAAGATGCTACCATGACAAGGATGATGGTTTTCATTGTTCTCAGTTTTTTTTTTTTTTTTACTCTTTTCCCTTATGCAGTGTCCATTCATTGTGCAGTAATAGTTTTTATTTACCATTTAAGGTACATACAGCAATGGTTATGCTGCATTGAGATAAAAAGGTAATTCAGAGACAAGATAACTGAAAATACATGTTTCTCATCTTCAGCTTTGGATAACATAACTCATTGCAATTAAAAGTAAGCTGTAAAAACAAATAGCATTCAGTCACAGAATAATGTATTTTCCTTTAATCCCATAGAAAAACATATTGCTTTTATCGGAGCATGTTTAAGATGCTTTGAGGCTGATAAGTTTGCATTTTGTTTTAGAAATAGCTTCTGTAACATATGAAAAAGAGGATTAAATAACCTATCTTCGCCTCTTTGCTGTATCTGATTGAAAGGATGGAATTCTAGTTTGTGGCTTTAACCTTATCTACAAATTTAGCCTGAGGCTGGTTGTACTGAACCATTTAATTTACAAAAAGATTATCCAAGCTGGATAAAAATACTGCTTAAGCTAGAGTATTAAAAAATACCAATTTTTTTCCTCCCCTTTTTTCTTTGATTATTAGCTTTCTGAGTCATGCATGGCATTTTCTCCCCTTTTCCCCGGTAATTTTTACAATCCTTTAGTCCTTCCATCCTGTATGCAGTCTGATTATGCCTGACTCTCAGTTCGTCCCTTCTGACAGTCATCTCTCTGTATCTAGCTCTCTCCTAAAGCAGAATGTATACACCAGGTTGCCACAGCAACCGGAGGAGGCCACATGAGCTGGTGGATGAACAAAAGAGCCAGATACTCTGTTTTTCACACCATGGAGAGAGAGAGAGTAAGAGTAAGAGAGAGATGGGAATGAATGATGTAGACGGAGGACAATCAGATTTGATTTTTCATAGGCAAGGGGGTTTGGTGTATGTGGTAAAACCTGGTGGAGTACTTGGTGAGGGGGGGAGGGATGGATGCTGAAGGTGAGAGGAGTTCATGAATGAAATAGAAACAAAAGGAATATGGTGAGAAAAATATACCTGACAAACCCTCAACACTGGGAAAGGTTCAAATAAAATATCTATACTAGGGATAGACGATCATAATTAAAGGAGGGATTTTAGAATGATTATTACGAGCTAAAGAAGATTGGAAAGAACATGGTTTTAATGAAATAGTGGGAATATAAATAGAATATATTTATAGCAACACTGTTTAACTTTAAGCCACTAGTGGTGTTAGACCTGTAAGTTCCAGGTTTACAAACTCTAAAAGCACACTGTATCACTGCGCTGTCACAAATCTAAACAAGCGTGTTGTGGAATCAGATAGCAGACAGCTTTGGAGTAGCAAACTGCCAGTGTTGGTCCTTAGGCAGGACCCTTCATGCTAATGCCTACCTATTACAATGATGAGAGACAATAAAATTAATGACATTCCGGCTCAGACGTTGCCCGGCCAAACAAGGTCTGCGTCAGGTGCTGGGGAACCAGAGCACCTTGATGAAAAAAGGGCAACCGGTACAAGAAGGAAATGGCCAAATGCAAAGGATATGGGAGAACTGGACACTTCTTAACCTACAGTCCCCAATCATAGTGAAAAAACTAGTAGCTCAATTGTCCAACGGCAACTGGTCTCACAACTTGAGATCGGCAATGTACAAAACCACAGTTCTGGCAAGGGGGAACCAGGATCCCAGGTCAGATGGAAGCAAACACCAACCCCCCACCAGAGATTGGGTACAACACCTCAATAAGCGGAATCATGCTGAATGAGGTAGCGACTGACCCTGAAAAATAAGATTATGGCAAAAATGTCATCCAGGAAACCCCAAAGCCAGTTACAGAGACCAAATGAAGTACCATCAGAAAGTCTACTAGAAGACAAGAATGCAGCTCTGCAAGATATTCCTACATCAACCATCACTGACACCAATAAGCTGATATGCTGCACAGCAGCAGTTATCCTAAAAATGCTTGGCTGTAAGAACAACCATGTGATGAAATACCCACCATGGAAAAGAGACTGGAGACTAAGATCAAGGCAACATGGAGAGAAGTGAGTCAATCGACAAAGGCCCTAAAAGGTGCAATGAAAAATCAAGCACCTAAGAGGTAAAGCCAGATGCCCATACTTGAAGCCCTGGAAACTGCCAATCAAACGCTCCAAGCCTTGGCCAGCCGCCAAAAGTGGTACAAGAGAGACAATAAAACCAGATGGATAAACTGGCTGTTTGCATCTCAGCCAGCGAAAGTGTACGCTCAGTGGCAGGAGAGCAATAGCAGAACAGCCCCACCAAGGCTGGAAACTGAACGGTACTGGAAAGGCATATTGAAGAAGGAGGCAGCACACAACAGTGATTCACAGTGGTTGGTGGCTCTGTGAGAGGACCTCAGCAACCTCCCTGAACAGAATCCAGTCACCATTACAGTGGCAGACATCCGAGAAAAAATCTCAGGTATGAAAAACTGGACAGCACCAGGCTGCGACATGATACACACCTACTGGCTTAAGAAACTCACGGCACTACATGAACGCCTGGCAGCACAAATAAACCAGCTGCTGAGAGATGGGAACCACCCTGAGTGGCTAAACAAAGGGCACACAATCCTGATCCTGAAGGATACCTCAAAGGGATCCAGTTATTGGTCAATAACCTGCCTCTCCACAATGTGGAAGCTCATGTCTGGGATTATAGCGGCTAAGATAAGCAGGCAGATTGATCATTACATGAGCACAGCTCAGGATTGAATCGGTAAAAATACTAGAGGTGCAGAACATCAGTTCCTAGTAGACAGAACAGTCACTCGAGACTGCAGAACTCAAAACGCTTACCTAAGCACTACCTGGATTGTTTACAAGAAAGCCTACGACTCAATGCCATACACTTGGATCATTGAATGCATGGAGCTATACAACATCAACAGTACTATAAGAGCCTTCATTTCAAACTCAATGAGGTTGTGGAAAACCACCCTTGAGGCCAATGGCAAGACACTTGCACACGTCTCCATTAATTGTGGCATATACCAAGGAGATACACTGTCCACACTGCTGTTCTGCATAGGTCTGAACCCCCTCAGCCAAATAATCAAAATGACTGGCTATGGATTCTGACTTAGGAACAGGGTCACCATCAGTTACCTCTTCTACATGGATGAGATCA